AAAGTTACTGGCACCATTAACGTTGATATCGCTTGCCATTACTCGTATGCTATTTGTTGGAGCGAATATTAATTTTTTTAATTTGAGAGGCTCCAATGACGGAATGTTGTATTCCGGTACACCTGTCTTAAGATACGGCTTCAAATGCTCGATGCTATTTTTGATACATGTCTCATAGTGTGGTTCATTCGTCTGGCAAATATGCAGGAACTCGGCTGCAAACACATTAGAACTCATCAGATAATCAATATAATTGTAAAAAAACGGCGCGCGCGCTCGCACGCTTGAAGATAATAGATATTTAATAGAACTATTACTAGAAAGATTAGTATCAATCTGCGCTTGATTTATATTTATAAATACACGAGTTCATTGCGTAACACTTCTTTAATAATGCATTTATATGACCTATGTCAAGTCGTATTTAATATTTATATTCAATATCGAAATACATTTACGTCAATGTATAATATAAAGTTAATTTATAAAAAGCATTTCTAGGCCAGTTTTTGTCCTTTTTATCTTCCTTTCTTAATACTTAGAACAGAAAAAATGTATAACAAAATTTGAAATTATTATATCAAACATATCTGAACAAAGAACAAATGATAAAAATTTGTTTTTTTAAATACATTGATTTTGTGAAAAAAAAATTTTTTAAATGCGTATGTGTATGCACGTTCATGCCATGCATGTATATGTATAAGAAAAAATATTTTTTATATAAACGCAAATTATTTAAACGCAAAAATTAAATAAAATTTAATTTTTAATATAAATAAAAAAATTGTCTAGAAATATCTTAATATCTGTAGATATTTTAATAATACCTGATAACGGAACATAAATTTAACTTAAGTATACTTTAATGCTAATATTAAGACTGTGCTAATAAATATTAATGACTAATAAATATCAAACCAGTGACTTTTAGTACTTAGACTTTAGATGTTTGATAGGACTTATTTTTACAATATTAATGATACTAATTATATTAACATACCAATATACCAATATACAAGCCTATAAGACAGATAAAATTTAGAAGTACTCACTTTCAAATAATTATCCAATTTAACTTATTAATATTTAACTTATTAATATTTGAATACAAATGATAGAAATATAAGTATTATTGCATTGTTAAATCTTATGTGTGTAATTTTACTTACGTATATCTCGTGCAGCTACCACACCGATCGTCGCTACGGCCAATAGGATCGCGATAAACGTTGCCTTCGCTGATGCCATTTTTCACAAAGGAAATAGAAAATGTGCAAACAGGAAGCTCAACAAAGTGCCTTTCGGGCTGTGGATGCCTGGACTCGAAACTCGACGATGGGGGGGTTGCTGGCCGACCGAGAACCCACAGCGACGGACGATCCGAGGATGGTCGGAGATGGAAATGTTCTGGATGACAATCTGAACGTCTTATAACAGCTACCATCTCTCCTTCTCCAACATGCCACCCGCCACAAACGAAACGAAAGCCATTATTGTTACCTAGATGATATCTGCCTCTAGGTATTTGCAAGAAAAACATACACGTATAGATCGCGAGAACTCGAGAATGTACAGGCGCAAGTAGATCTTGTCGCGAACACACATGCGTATTATCAAGGCGATGATAGTCTCTAATACTCCTTTTTATAAAACGATGCCGCGGATATTGCCTCAACTTTGTTCTTCATAGACTTCTACTAAAAAGCAAAGAAAAGACAACAAGGAGTTGAGAGAAACATCTGATCAAGAGCCTGGGAAGATATTTTACATAAGAATTGTTAATAAATAATTAATTATAAATTGTTATATCGTAAATAGAATTTAAAGATTTTTACAGATATTTCTGAAATGAGAATGCTCAAGTTTTAGCAGCGCGTATTGTAAGATTATAAGTTACACGTGATTATATTCATACTTACATAATTTTTATTATACAATTACAAAACTAATTTTTATAACAAAGTCACAGGTCTTACACAGATTAACGAAAACTTATAGAAATTTACAAATTATCTCAAACATTGTAGCACAATCAAATTATGTATCTGTATTAATATAAACGTTAGTTTCAATAAGAAACTAAAGCTGCCTAATATGTTTAACGTCAGCAGACTATTTCTTTGTTATGATCAATAAAAAATGTTGCAAATGTAAAAAAATGGAAATCTATTTTTATTTTTTATCTATTTAAAAATTTAAACATTTTTTCTTGCCAATTTGCTTTTCCGTTAATACACGATTTTTAAAATGTACATATATCTTAAGTTTTATATTTTTTTATAGCTTCTGATTTTTTACTATTTACAATAATTCTTTTTTTTAAATCTTTTAAAAATTTGACATTTGTTTAATAAATTTATATATATTATTTATTTACATGACAATCTTTTTTGACGCATGTCCTTTTGGAAGTTTACTATAAAATAAATTTAAAATTAAAAATCTTTGGCGCACAGAATTTTTATATTAGTTGTATACTATTTATTTTAAATCTAGTATTATTATTATTTAATTGGTGAAATTGATAAAATATAATACAGTTTTATTTCTTAAAAATGCTTTATTTGCTATATTTGCTATTATAGCACTGTAATCTGTCAAATGTATGAAGAATAATATATTTGAAGAAATAAAATATATGTTTCCGAAAAAAAATTAATCGAGTCGATTTTAAAACTTTTTTGCGACAAGTAAATTTGGAAATTGAGTAGTCCTGCGGCATATCGTGATTTCGTAATTCGCTCGACGAACATCATGCAAAGACGCCATTATACACCAAACAGAACGCTCTGCGCATTTTAGAACACGCAATTGTAAACGAAATAATGGTCATTGACCCCCTTTCTCACCTCTTATTATAATAAATCATAATAAAGTTTCCGAAACAAATAGAAATAATGTTAATACTTCTTTTATTTTTTCGATCTTGATTTCTTGTTTCTATCAATTTCTAAATTTAAGAATTTACATCATTCCTTTCAGACTCTACTACTTCATTATAAATAATCAGAAAAAAAATACATATATTTCGATAATAAATTAAACTATTTTTTAATAATTCGTAATAATCGTAAAATATAAAAAAATTTTTGATTGCTGTATCTGTCATCATAATTTCGTTTTAGGTTTTTTTGTAAAAAAAATAGCTTTTTAATCAATAAAATTAAAAGATAAATGTTTCAAGATACTGTCCACATATATTACGCAATGGACAGACAAAAGACGTTGCTGTTTGACCATTGGTGCGATTATGCATGCGTACCAGAGAAACACGTAGTCGAGAATGCGTGATGAGTTTTACGAATCGATAGACATAAATACATAAAAGGTAAAGATTTTTATTATTTTTTTCTAAAGCTAAAAAAATGTGCAATAATATATAAGAATCAATGTTTACATCGTAATCATAGCAAAGCTTAATATTTTAGATCGTTGCAAATAATAAATTTTGAAAGTTTTTGAATGTTTTAATATAATAAAAAAAATTTTCTGATCGTCAAATAATTCTTGTTCTTAATTATTGTCTAAACTTTCCAACTTTTACTTTAATAAAATTAGATATTTAATATAAATATATAAAAATTATGTTAAAATATAATAAATATATTAAAATACAAAATTATTTAAATTTTAAGTATTAAATTAATATTAATATACAATTTAATACTTTTCAATTATTTATTAATACATTTCGATATGTCTTGTATTTTGTAATAAATTAATAAATTGAAAAATCTAGATTCTTGCAAATCACATATGTTTGAGAGATGCTGAAACGCAATATAAGAAGTTCTGCAAGCGGGAGTGTAACTTCCGGGCATACGAGAATGATTGTTTATGCGTTTACGAGCAGCCGACTAGGATTAGTAAAAACGTCATAATTGGTGGTCATCCATCAACTCAAAAGAATCATTGGAGTTATCAGAGCTCTGACATAATGCTCGTCGACTGGACGACTTGTCAGGCATCAACATGTGATCGTTATTTTGTTCATTGGTAAAAATATCAAATATTTGAAACAAAATATAAATGTGTCATAATCTAAGAATTTTTTTAAATATTTACTTAGATATTAACAAGATAAGTAAAATTAAACTGAAGAAAAAAAGAAGAAGAATTTATTTACTTTGTTATTAATTATCTCTATTTTATTTTATTTATTCAAATAAACTTTTTAATAACTATTCGTATGCAAATATTTTAGTAAATTATTTTCTTTTAAGAAACTAGATAGTATATTATCACATTATATATTTTTACATAGCAACAATATTTATTTATGTTTTAAAACTTATATTTAACTTTGTATTTTGTGTGTGTGTGTGTGTGTGTGTGTGTGTGTGTGTGTGTGTGTGTGTGTGTGTGTGTGTGTGTGTGTGTGTGTGTGTGTGTGTGTGTGTGTGTGTAAGTTAGATCTTTTTCTTCTACATATCTACGTACTATGACATAATATTCTTCATTTCTGTTTGAAATATATCAGACAAATGTCTTTGCAGTTTCGACGAAAAGTCGTTGAAAATCAATTGATAATATCACAAATTTTCTACACAAATTTTATCTTGTAAATAAATAGCTTTATCGTATGATTTACGAATCTTTTATACTTTTATAGTGTAAGTCGAACAATAAAGTATCTTTTGAAACAGGAATTTTTATTTTGGAAGATTATTTTCAACAAAGCAAACAAAGCTATCAATTATCAAAAAGCAGGCGTATAAAATACGATTGTATGATGTATAATTTCCGGCTTCTATCCGACTTAATAATTTCAGTAGCACAAATGATCTCGCGCCGCCCACTATTCAGCAAAATAAATTCAGATATCGATCCCACGCATCAGAGCAAGCGTAATCATTGGTATTGCGATTTTACTTTGATAATAGAGAAGACGTAACGTTGACATAAGAGCGTATTTACGTAGTGAGCAAGGTGGTTTCGACCTCGCGTCGAGATGCGCTTCATGATGATCGGTTTCCTGTGAGAGAACGCAAATATAGTAATCGTATCTATCGTATACACACGTTTTTCGTTTTGGATGTTAATATTATTTACTTATATATTAATATTAAAGTGTTGGAAAAATTAAAGTTCACGATTCTCGTCCAAAAAGTTTGTTGTCATAAATTTTGCTGATAATTAAAAAATAAAAATTTTTATGCAAATTGTACAAAAAGATTATGCTACTTATAATAGCAAACATGACAATTGTAAACAATTATAACAATTGTAAAAAAACATAAAAATCATATCTCTATATATGTATATCTAGACATAGATATAATGTTTAATATTAGTTTATTACATATTAATTTTTTATATTTAAAAAATAATTCTATTCTTCACGTCAATATCTTGAAGTAATACTATATTATAAATTTATTCAAATTGCGATCTTTGACACAAATGTCTAAGCGTGTAACTTTTTATTGGAAGGAGGAAACGAATTGTTAATGAAATGACGAGACTATATTTATTGGCCGCCACAAGGATAGTGTATTTGTTTAACAGAATTCCTAGAAAAAATGATTTAATTTGAAGATAATGATGTTGCATTATAATTTTCTTGTATTTTAGAATCACTATTTTGTTGTTATTATTTTTCCATTTGTAGTCTCATATAAGTTGTTTCTCACTTGTTAAACCTATTGATATTCAAAACAATTCTTTTTACATATAATTGCACATAAAGTTTGCATAGAACATATCAATTCTAGATAAAACAAACAATTATATTAATATATTTGCGCAAAGTTATAGTATTAGATATTAGACATTATGATTTATATATATGAATAAAAAGAGGCAATAAATGAAAAAGGACACATGGTTACATAGAACATCTAAATTTTAATGTCTTTACTATAAACGAATCATGTGTGGATATATATATATATAAATGTGTGTGTGTGTGTGTGTGTGTGTGTGTGTGTGTGTGTGTGTAGTGTGTATGTG